TTCCTGCTCCTCTGATGCTGCTTGGCCTGCTGTGTTCATCCAGCTCTACACCTTGTTATCTCAGATTCTCCAGCATCTGCAGTTTCTACTATCCTGTGAATGAATTTTTTTTGAAAAATTCCACAGATTCACTACCCACCCAGACAGAAAAGTTCCTCATCTCGTTGCGACTCCTGACACCTTGCATTCTTTGTCGAGCAGGTGAACTACACGCAGCCCTTGGTAGCCGTGAAGTTTGTGAACGTAACAAACAACATGGACGTCAACATTGAGTGCAAAGTCTACGGCTCGAATGTGAAGAACGACGATGAGCGAGACAAATTTGCCGGCAGGGTAGTCTTCACACTCAACGTAGGCTCAGGTGGATCGGGATCCTCTTAAACCTTTTTGCACTGGACATGTCTTACTGGGCAGGTGGGGGCACACCTGGGTGGGGGCGGGAGGGGGTTGGGGTTTGGGGTTGGGGAGGTGAAACCTAGCAAAAGGTAGGCAGAAGAGAACAGCACCTTCTACAGCACAGCGGGATTGGAACTCCATCTCATAGGCTATTCTTCCGAGAGTCCAGCTTTAAATCAGACACTGAAGGAAACTGATGCAGCACCAAGAAGATCATGTCCCATGTAAAGAGTTCAAGACTCCCCCCTATCCATGGGAAAGCTGAATCAACGCCATCGCATTTTTCTGACCCTTAAGAGCGCTGGCCCCTCTTGCACCCTAATCCAGAGGTTTGCTTTTATCGTGTAAATAAAATGTGCAAAGTTTCACATCCTTCATGCCTCTCCAGCCTTGCTGGGTGCCCCAGTCTTTGTAAATTTGGCTGTGCAACCTCAGAGTCAACATTAATACTTTGGGTCCTTTAAAAATGGGATTCAGCATTCATGGGAATGGCAATACCCCACCTCTGCCCACCTATCACCTCTCTCTTCCCTTTCACCCTCCTTTCTGTGAGGATTTGCTCCACTTTTGCTGTAAAGTGCGTGTGTGCGTATGTGGTGAACCAGGACTAAGGCCCTAATATGAACTCAGTCTCAGTGAACAAGTTTGGAATGAGGTACAATCTGGACTTAAGGACTCTGTTTTATTAACTGTGGCTGGTTTTCAACCCAGTGTCTGATTACTTCTCAGGGCCCTGGCTTGATAACAGTGAACCCAAGGGTCTAGTCTGTCTCTCACTTTTGCTGTTGTTAAACACACCTCTTGCACTTATTCACCTCCATTCATTCCAACCCTCATTCACAACCGGGCAAGTAAGGTTGCCCAACAACCATGAATTGTAAAAGGCAAGACTCCAATGACTCAATTCACCAAAGATCCTCAGATAGTAACTTCCAAACCCACGATCACTTCCATCTAGAAGGACAACAGCAGCAGACATATGGGGATACCACCACCTTCAAGTTCCCCTCCGAGCCACTCACCATCCTGACTTGGAAATATATCACCGCTCCTTCAGTGTCGCTGGGTCAAAATCTGGAATTCCCTCCCTAAGGGGCATTGGGGGTCAGCTTGCAGCACATGGACTGCAGTGGTTCAAGAAGGAAGCTCACTACCACCTTCTCAAGGGGGCAACTAGGGATGGGGTAATAAATGCTGGGCCCAGCCAGTGATGTCCACAGCCCATAAATGAATAAATAAAACAAAATTTACTTCACAAGATGGCACCTTTCCCAGCGGGTAGTCAAAAGAAAAGTATTTTGTCAGTCTCCAAACTATTAGTTAGGAAAATAATACAAGGGGATGTGTAGATGGAGGTGAGGGGGTGTTGTATAGGTGTGCGTGTGTGTGTGTTGTGGCGGTGGGGGGTGGCGGTTAAGGCATTCCATTATTTGAATTACCCCACAACGTGGATCATCTGGGAAGATCTCAAACCACAAGGACTCTGCTAGGAACGTAGATGTTGGGAGGCCAGCATGTGCCTCTAATGTCCCACCAGTGCTCCTACATCAAATGGTCTTTCCTCAGCACCAATGTTTGGAAAAAATGTACATATATTATATATATATGTGTGTATGTATATTATATAATATAATTCGTTCGGTTTCAGATTGTATGTCTATAGACTTTAAAAATGAATGCATCCCAAAATGATGAGTCTTTTCCCACCATGGATTTGTAAGGTATTCTCTCTGACATTGGTGAACGCAAGTTTGAGAGGCCTTTTAGCCCTGAACTCAAAACTAAGTTGCTGTTTCTTCAAAAGTGAAAGGTAGGCCCATGGTTGGGGACACTATTCGTAGGAATCTAGGAACAGGAGGAGGTCATTCAGGCCCTTGGAACTCTCCCATCATGCAGTTGGATGTAAACTTTGACCCCATTTCTCCGCCATGGTCCCTGTGAGTTTGTGATGGCCTTTTACCCAACAAGGCTACATGTGAAGACCTCGTTGGCTCTAATGTAACCTCAAACCCAGCCCTTGTCTGGACTTACCTCTCCTCTAACCCCGCTCTTGAGAGGAAATAGTTTGTCCTTCTTTGCAAATGTTCTATCACCAGAGAGACTTAAGGGGGGACAGTGCGTTGTCAGGGTTCTGGTTGTGTGGGGGTGGTTGCCATGGTGAACACATGCCCCCTATCTGATATTCACAACCAGCATCGGGGATGTGAGGAGAGAACGTTCAGAGATTATTGATGAAGAGAGTTCGGGTCGGGGGTTGGTGAAGAGCTGATGAAGATGATGTCCCTGTGAAGAGACACGTGGTGAGGAGATGCCTCCCTGATCCTCCCCAATTTCACCTTCCCACCTTTCCCAACCACTTCCTGTGCCTACATCTCCCGTCCTCACAGCCTCATGTCCCAAACTCCAGTACAGCTCGATACTAGCTCAGGTATTCAGGAGCCAGCTAACCCTGTGTCCCTCTGCCTTTTTGGGACAGTTCTTGGGTAATTTCACTGTCTGCTCTTGTGCTGGTATAAGAGGTGGCCATTCAGCCCATCGAATCATAGAATCCCTACAGTGTGGAAGCAGGTAATTCGGCCCATCAAGTCCACACCAACCGTCCAAAGAGCAGCCCACCCCTATCCCTGTAACCCTGCACTTCCCATGGCTAACCGACCTAGTCTGCACATCCCTGCACACTACAGAACAATTTAGCACTGCCAATCCACCCTAACCCGCACACCTTTGGACTGTGGGAGGAAACCAGAGCACCCAGAGGAAGTCCATGCAGACACGGGGAGAATATGCAAACTCCACAAAATCACCTGAGGGTGGAATCGAACCCAGGTCCCTGGCACTGTGAGGGAGCAGTGCTAAACACAGCAGCACCACAGAAATGACAAGTGCATTCTTGGGAAATTACAAGCCTGATTGAACTGAGACAGCTCATTCTGGAAATCGGCCCCAAAATAATTTCTGCCCTTTCCCCGTTGGGAAGATCGCAAAACTCTTACTCCTGAGGCTCACTGAGCAGATCGTTTCCTTTAAGAAGCCTTCAGCACTCTTCAGTGATCTGAACTTTGGCCCCCAGCACATGCCTGGCCATTGCCTCCTAAAACCAATCCGGAACCATTGATAATTTTCTGTATATATTGTTCCAATTCTCATTTATCTGCCCCTTAGATAAGCTGTTGTAACTTTTTGAACCATACAGAAACTTGCATGTGTGAATTCCAGCATTGTCACTGGGGGGTTTCCCAGAAAAACTGATGCTTACATCCATGTGCTTCAACCCTGTGTGATCTACTGCTTCCTAAACTCTAAACTGTTCCCAAGGTAATCCAGTGACAGAGCCATACTGTACCCTGTTCAACACCGACAGACCTGTCCCCATCGATACTGTACCCTGTGTAACACTGACAGACTAGTCCCCACTGATAATCTACCCTGTGTAACACTGACAGACCAGTCCCCATCGATACTGTACCCTGTGTAACACTGACAGACTAGTCCCCATTGATACTTACCCTGTGTAACACTGACAGACCTGTCCCCATCGATACTGTACACTGTGTAACACTGACAGACCTGTCCCCATCGATACTGTACCCTGTGTAACACTGACAGACTAGTCCCCACTGATACTGTACCCTGTGTAACACTGACAGACCTGTCCCCATCGATACTGTACCCTGTGTAACACTGACAGACCAGTCCCCATCGATACTGTACCCTGTGTAACACTGACAGACTAGTCCCCACTGATAATCTACCCTGTGTAACACTGACAGACCTGTCCCCATTGATACTGTACACTGTGTAACACTGACAGACCAGTCCCCACTGATAATCTACCCTGTGTAACACTGACAGACCTGTCCTTACTGATAATCTACCCTGTGTAACACTGACAGACCTGTCCCCATCGATACTGTACACTGTGTAACACTGACAGACCAGTCCCCACTGATAATCTACCCTGTGTAACACTGACAGACCTGACCCAACCAATATTGTAATACGCTGTGTAAAACTGAGTAGCCTGTCCCTATCCATATTTTATCCCATGTAACACCAACAGACCTGTACCCACTGATACTGTAGCCAGTGTAAGGCTGACATCTGTCTGCATTGATACTGTATTCCATGTAACTCTGACAGACCTGTCCCCACCGGTACTGTACCCCAGTGTTATACAGCGTCAGACTTGTCCCCACCGGTACTGTACCCCAGTGTTATACAGTGACAGACCTGTCCCCACCGGTACTGTACCCCAGTGTTATACA